CCTGGGTCATCCTTATGGTATTCACCAAACTTCTGACATAGTCGAATGAGCATGCGATCCAACCAGCGCAACACATCAGGTCCATCATCTCCTTCAGCTCTATAACAGACCACAACGACGCTTTCAAATAACTTACTCTCTACACGCAAAAGTGTTTTTCAAAGAAAATGTTAACCGTTATACCTGAAAACAGCTACTCTGCTCATCATAACGGCTGCAGCCTCCTGGTCGAACCCCATAGCGATGTGTTGAACATTTGATGCATCTACCCAGTTTCGTGCGCACGTTGTGACTCGAACTCTCCGCTGGCCACTGGAATGTTGATACTGAGTGATAAACTGTATGCAGCCACGCCCTCCTTGGGGGACTGGGGCTGTGTGCTGTGATTTGGAAACAGACAATTAGTGAAATGTTTTCTTTATCAGGTAAAGAAGAAAGATCAAAAGCATTCTTTAAGGATTGAACAGTACCCATCTCATATCATATAGTACAACTGAAGCTACTAAACACCAATTTAAATTTGAAAAAAAGAGACAAACCTGGTTAACTATTTCAAAGAAAACTCCAAGTGTTGTCTGAGGCTCTAATCCACACATCTTCCATGCACATGTTCCACCAACTCCAATTTCCTTAAATAAATGTATGTTTCGTTTTTTAAGTTTTGTAAGGAATTTAATCATATCACAGATAAATATTTTAAATGGTCATTTACCGCTAATCACCACATTGAGCACAATTTAATTCCTTTCTCTAGTTCCATTTCGTTTATGTTTACCAATCTATCTGAAGTGGTCTTGCTTAAATTAAGCATTTAGATTCACGCTTAAGTAAAAGTAGGTAATACTTTTTAACTTCCTAAAAACAACAATTATTGCATAAAGGTAATGACATGTGGTTTTCAATTGTTTCTTATAATTAGACGTTTTATTTCCTAGTTCTATATGCAGTGTACACTTAAAATACCAGTAACTTTATTTTCCCTCAGTTCATCTAGAACTGAAAACAGGTCTTACTGTTTCAGAAACGTTAGGTCCTTTTCTGTCCAATGATATACATGGTCCAATGGCACCTGACACTCTCAACTCTCTTGATGTCTATAATAAATATCAAAACTTAACAACCCAAGCAGATCATACATGTTTACATAAGGTTCATAGCCAGTATGAGTGTAGTGAAAGGAATATGATTATGGATTTTTGTATATGTCTGGCAGTTCAGATGCTCCAATTCAGTCAAGGACAACATAAGGGGAGAGAGAGGGGGCTGCAGATGGTTTGAAAGAACACTCTAAAGCTGATATGCATTTACAAAAGAAGCATTAAAAGGTGGACTTTGCTGTATCCCAAGAAACTTAAAATCCACCAACCTTCACTTCAAGTGTAGCACAAAAAGCCATCTTAAACTCTCCACGCATATCTTTGGAAAACACTCTCTGAAATGTCTGTTTGAAAAGTGCTGTGTTGAATGAATCTCCCATCACCATGTAGCCTCTAGAACAAAAGATAAGTACTTTTCAGCTTGGTGCAGCACCATACTAAAGCAAAGCATGGTAATATCTTAAAACAAAATAGTAAAACTTGATAAAACTCTGCAATTAACACAAGCATACTCAGAAAACAATCATTTCGAAAGCTCCCTTGAATGAGAGCTTGAGCTCAAGCACTTTTGAAATCTAAAAGTAGAGTTTTGCAAATAGAAAAAAAAGGTTAGGAAAAGTAATAAAAAAATTGGGCCAGTAAATTGTTAATCTGGTTAGTGAACTTGACTAGACTAAGTATAGCTAGAAATAAATAAGGCAAAAAGTGTTTTAACTTCTTTTGCATGCTGAACAGAATTTAGTCTAGCAGAACACTGTCTCATGACATACCCTGTGACATTAGGAAAACTCTTGATTTCATGAAGTCCTGTCTGATCCAGCTGACATGCAAATATATCCACAACATGCCCATTTTCTGCAGCACGGCGTGACAATGCTTCATAATGCTGCAAGTCATATAAACAAGTTGGTTACTGATGTAGCTAAAAAGCTACTGGAAACTTTTCAGAGCAATGTCTGAGGGGGCAGATTTCAAACATTTCAATTTGAGGATTATTTATTTCTTACTGAGGTGATATACATTTGATACCTTAATAGCTTTCCTGACATGTCTTGCATTGTCTTTCTCAAGATCATGATGTGATCGCATTGGATTTTTTAACTCTTCATCAACCACCATACCTGGTCCCTGTTGAGCACAATACACGAAAGAATCACCTGTAGTCTTCTCACAAAAAAATTAAAGGCTCCACAATCAATTCCTCAAGAACTGAAAATTCTTTGTCTAAGTGTTGTGCAGTATTCCTTTTAAATTCATGTACACATTGCTTCACTGGAAAAATACAGCATTTTCATACATGTTTCATTATTATACAAATGTACTTGTTCAAACAGTGTATTAATCATGTTTGTGACTGAGAAAGAGTTGCAATTGTTTAGTGACTTAAGTCAATTCTTCTTATTGGTCTTCAGGACAGTAGCTGGATTTATTAAAACAACTGAGAAACTAAGTATGCTCTCCTTGGTCATTCAAGGTGATCACAAGAGAGTAAGTGAAAACAATTTTCATGTTTTAAATAGCTGCATATTTTGCAGAGATAAATGCATTTTTAGAAAAGTGATAGAGGATTTCAGTAACTCTCTTCATCCAGAATTACAAGTAAGTACAAGAAGCTCACTTGGCAGAAAATATGCTAAGTATGTTAAGTATGACAGAGTTTTTTAACAAAAAACTCAAGCCTTGATATATACCTGTGTTCCTGGTCCTCCCATGAACAACATGATTCTACCACCAGTGTTAGGATATGTGCACTAAAAGAAAATAAACAATAGCTGTTACACTGCCTCTAAGCTGTTGTATATTTTAATGTTTACATGATATTTATCACTGTCAGTGATTTGAAGTTAGAGTCAGTACATTCATTTTCTAATCTTCCCCAGAAAGGTTTTCATCATTGCACCTGACAATTCAAACCATGAAGTGGTTGGGACAAGACAAGGAAAGCTAAACAGCTGCCTAAGAAAGTGATGTCTTTTAGAGTGGAAAAAGTACAAAAACTTGGAATCAAACTGTTTCATTGCTCTTATTAGTTATAAATCCTTCATTATTGCAAACCCTTCATTTAAAAATAAGTTCTTCAAAATTACAGTTCAGAACATTGTGCGGGGGTTTCAGACTATAACAAAACATATTACAAGTACATGTACACCCTCAAGTACATATTATTGTTGATAAATTAATATACAAGGGAGACCATACCTCAAGCAGACCAATAGCAATGGACAATGCCACACCAGTTGACCTTAGGGGTCTTTTGCCAGTTGGAACAGGCCAAGGATCTCGCTGAAGTTCTCCCAATAGATCAGTAAGGCTCATATCACATTTGTGGACTGGTTGGAGAAACCTATACATAAATAATAATATATCATACTCTGGCCTTGGAATGTCATGCCCAAGAATAGCAACTTGAAGTACCAAACAATGAATGTACATGTACCCATTTACATGTGCATGTAAGCATTTATGATTACCCCTGACCTTAAGTGGGAGTCACCTGAACAGATGGAGTTATACTATAAAACAGTACACACAAAAACTGTCTAGTTATTTAAGCTTTGCATCATAACAGCTCCTACAGGAACTGCAGTGATGCATTACAATATAATTTTGTGAATAAACCAGTGTTGGAGCAAATTTTATACTTCTCTCCAAATTCCCCCAGTGACCAGGGGTTTCATTGCTTTGAACATCAACTGTGCATGGCATACATTGTACAAATAAATTGAAAAAACACTTTTCCACATGGAGCATATATGTTAAAGTGTACACATTTCACTCCCCAAACTTCAACTTGAAGAACTGACCTGAAACCTACAGAATTCAGAGGAAAATCGACCAAGGAAGAGAAAGTTCAAACTAATTGGAATTGGTTTTGGAGCAAACCTGGTATAATTCTAAACTACACCTGCTATGTAGTGGTGCTTAGTTCTAATTACAGTATGAACACCTGTTAAATGTTTCATTGGACTGTTGTTGTGGTGGTACAGGTCCTCCTCTCATTTGCTGCTGTTGTCCTCGCCCACTGCCTCCTAGGCCAAGCATATCCTAAAATATGGACAAAGCACCATTTCTGTTAAGGATAATCAACATAAAAGGAAAAAGTGAAAAAAACTAGTCTGACCAATTTCCTTTTCATTCTGTTAAGGAAACATTCCTTGCTTGCAAGAACAGTAATGTAACACACACATGTACTCTCCACATAAACAAACCTGTATTTGTTTAGCATTAAGGTCCTTTGTTCCTCTGAAGACATAACTCTTGGAGCAACCTTCACATCCCAGCTCATGGACATGAACCTGAAACAGTACCAGAAAGATGATATGGTCTGCAACCTTCTTTAAATTTCATCATTAATATTACGTACCCTGTTCAAAAATACCTTTAAATTCTTAATGTTTAACCCTTTCACTCCCAAGATCACAACATCTTTTCTCTACACTATACTCTATACAGACATTTTAACTTTAAAAGATTAGTTCATTTAAAATCCCACCCCACCCCCATAGCAAAAACTGCATTTGAATGCCCCACTTGACCAAAATGTTATACTGAACCATTCCTTGTATGGTCAACAACTGTCATATAATTTGATGCTTTTTTTCCCCATCTATAAGCATCACTGTACAGTGTGAATATTTTCTTCTAAGCCATTTGCTCACAAAAGTGGACTCTATATCCTAAAACTCCTCTATATTCAAAATTAAAACATGTATTCAGCTGGTTCAGATTCTCCACCCCACCAGGACAAGGTTCAAGTTCCCCACCCCAGGGCTTCAACAACAGTTAAACAGTTAAATGGCTGTGGGTTGCCTCAAAAGGAGGGGGGTGGTGGCAAGAGGGGGGATGTTGAAGCTTTGAATCAATCAGCACATTACAACTTAAACACTGAAAATTGTTCACATTACATGCAAATAAACCTTGATGGCACTGATTACCTATAAAATTAATTATCATAGAGTAATTTACTACATAGCAAAATAACAGGGTTCCTTACCATTTTACCAAATGTGATGAGACCAACCAATGCATTGGGTGGCATTAGACTCAGAGACATTTGCAGAGATTCCTTCAATACAAAAAAAAGCATTTCACGTCCAATTCCTTAATGCAGATTTATAGTTCACAACTCATAATTATTCCAACCCTGTCCTATGTTTTTTTCTCTGATAATCCTTTTTCCAAACATAAGTTAAGACCCACATATTGCTATTTGCAGTATTTTTTTGAAGGGGAGCTGTTTGTGAGAGTATAATGACATGGATTGCACATCAGCATCTTCTGAGGGTGGCTCCTGGATAACAGAAAGAGGACGACCCAGTGGTTTCACTACAATATCTCTTGATTCCTTAAGGGCACATTATGTCTGGGAATTAACGTACACAGGCTTCAAGGGCCTGTAGTAGCATGCACGTGGTAGAAAACTTACAAATGTGTGGAAATATACACAAAAATGATTTTACAGTTTACCTTGATTTCATATTTGTTTATTCACTACATTAGATGGGTCAAAACTTTGATAATGCTACAGTAAAAATAGTAATACAACCCATACTCAACATCTTCTACCAAATTGGGAATATGCCATTTCTAAAGTGTACTTCAAGTTTAGAGTCCAATGTATACAGTATGAAAACAGACCTTCACAGCCTGGAAGTCTTCATCATCCATACATGTGTCTAACACTATCAAATATATCAATGGACCAGAGGTGCCTCCACGCTGAAAAAAACAGGTACATCACATTGCAGAATAAATACACCAGTAATGTTTTGAATCTGTACATGTATGTACAAATAGAACTTGAGTCAAAGCACAACCACCCATCCCCCCCCCTCCCCCATGGATGGGACTGGCCACACAATTCAGGGGATCTGAGATAAATTGCATACCTCAGGGTAGATGGATTGGGATATTTTTCTATCTGGCATTCCCCAGGTTAGAGGTTTTGTTGGGAGCCTGTTGTTGTGAATTAAGTGGTTGCTGCATGTAGAAGTCTGTCTTTGAAATCTAAACTATCCACCCACCCAATTGAAGTACAGCAATTCATCAAATGAATAAGTGAAATCAACAACTAAGAACAAAAATTTTCATTTCTCCTTTTCTTATCCTTTATCTTTTGCTACTCTTTCAGCTGTCAATCCCACACCTCATAAGAAGGATGTCCAATATTATGGCAGCATTTGAGGATTTTGGTAAAAAAGAAAGCTTCCTCTGGGACAAGAGAGTTGATCAAAAACTAGAGTAAGGTTTCTAGCAAATCCCTACAGGGAGGAAGGGTTATACTTAAAGTCAAAGTAATTAGGCAACAATAAAGTCAGAGAGAGTCTCGCCCATTCCTATGAGATTCTTATGAGAAGTGTATCTGATGTGAATGGAGACTCTACCAAATCTTGTCTACAGGTGTTAAGCAAATTGCACTCAAAATCAAAATGATGTTTCACATAAATTAATTAATAAGTCCCCACAAAATGCATGCAATAGGTCGTACTGGGATTTTCTAATAAATCTAAACAAAGTTAATGGCTTTAATTATGCAAACTATTAGTTTACCTGTAGAGTGTACTCAATGGTTGAAAACTGAGGAATAAGTTCAGCAGGTTGGTGCTGTTCTGATATTCCAGCATACTGAGGAGGAAACTGTCAATGACAGAGTACACTGTATCAGTTTAAATGTATAGTTTACAGTTTGTACATATATTCATACATAAATGTATCATTGCCTATTAAGAAGTAATATCAAGCTAATTTACTAAATTGTTTCAACCTAAGAGTATGAAGGGATTGCCTAGTTTGAAAATCACAAAGTTAGTAACCATGTAAACTATAGCAAGTTTGAAAATCACAAAGTTAGTAACCATGTAAACTATAGCAACAAAGCCTTGCTGTGATGGTGCACATGGAAGCCATGGTGGTAACAGTGCTTGCTTTCACGACAGTACCTCCATGGTTGGATTCTAAAAGCTACATACTGTAGTGTAATATGTGAGCTGAGTTCTTGGCATCCCTTCAAAGGTTTTTCTTCAAGTTCTCTCACATTTCTACCAACCACAATAACTATTATTCTTATTCTACCTGAGTTGTTTGAATGCTTGTGTATGGAAAATTTGCTCTTTAAAAATCAGTGATATTAATCATGGTAGTAAACCAGTATAGAGGTGGAGTTTGTCAGTTAGATTTGATATCTATATTGGGGTAAGATTCTTCAGTTCAATGCAAATCTGTGTACCTTTCATGATTGCACTGTTACCATAACATACTAAGGGCACAGGTCCTTTCTAATTCCTAAGGAGCTATTATGGTGTAAATCTCTATGTGCAGTTTTGCTTCAGCTGCAAGTTTCTGTAGATTTTAGCCACAAGTTTTCAAACCTTGTTTTTCTGATCCATTCCAATTGAGATGGACCTTTTCTCAAAATGAAAAATAAATGTGCTAGATAATAATCATTTTGATAAACAATGAGCTTGTAGCTCTTTCCACCACCAAATTAGCTTTGGAGTTAATGATACTTCTTTCCCACATGCTATGTAAATCATGGCTGGAGGAACAAAAATGTGCTTTTATGACTTTCACTGAGGCTTTATGTGTTGGGGACTTAAAGTATTGTTATGTCTCAAAAGTTTTGTTCAGTAGAAGATTTTGTTCTAAAATAATACAATTTTCTATAATTTTCAACACAAAGCTAGCAATTTCTGGTCATAAATTATTGTTAACAACAATTCAAGCATGGGTAATCTTCTAAGCAGTCTTGTATATCGAAGAAATTTGTTCTTTTTTCACTTCTGACCAGAAAATTCACAAGTCTTTGAATGAGGATTTGGTCTCAAAAATATTTATTTTCCTTCATTCATGGTTTTCAGGTAAAACACTTGGCAAACCTGACAAAGTTGTAACAAACTCTTTTTTTGAGCACAACTTGTGTCTGCATACTTTGTTATAAAATAATTGGTTCATGCTTTTATCTATGCATATATCAAGTCATGGATGTACTTGGCACTCTCTTTACTTCCTGCATGTAACCATGCCTTGATGTACCCATGCTAATTTTGAACCAATATTTTAAGGCTGGTAGAGTGTGTGACTGCTCTAAATTGCTAGTTGTGGTGTTCTTGAGTGTATCACTGAAAATACCTTCCGGACCTAGGTTTTCTGTCACTTTTTTTTAAATGACTGACTGGTGTCAAATGTCCTTTCAGTGATGACTTTGGCAAGGGTTGATACAAGATTAGCCACCAAAAGAAAGCTTTTCTGGACTCTACCCTTACCCTGTGTGGTACTAAGTGATATAAAGTTCACTGAAGATGAAAGTTTTTCATTCCCAACAATATAATTTGATTAATTAATCCTGACAAATGTGCAAATCGCATGTATACAATTTTATTTAAGTTATTCTCATTGAGCAAGCTTGTTACTATCACAGCTTTTTTACGTTTGGGCACTATGTCGTCCTAAAAATGTTAAGTGTGATTCACCATACCCATGTAAACAAGTCTTACCGCATTTCGTTGGAAGCAAAAATTGCAGTGCCAAACTTTAGATCGATAGTCCACTTGACTATTGACAAAAACATAAAAGACATCAAATACAATACATTATCAAATCAAAATTTTCCTCCCAAATGTCAAATTTCATGTACGTACATACATAGTTCATTAACTTACCAAAATGGGTTCAACACTGCTCTACAAGTGTTCCTTGTACACAAAACAGGATCATAACAGATTGGAGGAAGGTCTGGTCGTTCTTTCAACGGTGTGTACATACAACCAACAGGAACAACCTAAAGAAAATCGTGATGAGATTCCTGAGTTGAGTCGTAAAGAGGAATAACTATGTGGAATGTTTCTCAACCCACCATTCGCGTAGCTTCCAGTCGACTCGAGGGCCAAACATTCCAGCTAAATCTAACACCATCACGGTCCTCGTTCTGAGTTATAAAGTCCTGGTACGAAGTCATTTTTGAAAGGAACTCACCACAAGTTTCATTAAGACGAAATGTTTCAACAAGAAATTGCCAACAACCTTTGTGCCACGTCGCTGGTAAGGCTAAAACCTGGGAACTAGTGTCTTCGATTTCTGCCCTCTCCTTCCAGTCTCCACTCCTTCTTAATAGCACTGGAATCCCCGGAGATCGAGTCGAAGAAGCAAACGAGCGGGAGAGCTGCGCCATCGGCGTGAGTGTTGTGGACTGTACCAGTCGGCTGTTTTCTCTGACTGATTGGTAAACATTCGTGAAACCAAAAACACCGCTTCTGTTTTCGCTCTTCCTCGATCAACCCTAGAGCGAGTTTTCTTATAACCACAGCAAACACAAGCCAAACGAAGTCTGAGCGCCGCCGCGTAAAATGTACTTTTCAACGACTGGCTTTACAGCTAAACGCCTTAAAACAACGAGAGAAGAGAGGAAGGAAATAGGGAGTAGAGAGACACTGAACATGAGAAGGATAAGGTAAGATAAATTCAGTTCAAATGAAGCTCGAATCCGTGTACTGTCGTAACATTTTTTTGTGCACAGACTGACTTTGAAACATCAAATATCAATTCGGGATGCAAGAGAAACTGAGTGCAAAGAGCGAACGGGCATGATTAGGTCAAGAGGCGGCCACTCTGGTCAAATGGACAGGGATAAAACTCATCTTTGCTTGTTTTGATTCCTTCTCTTACATAAGTGAACCATGTTCTTAAGTTTGTGTTTTTAAATATTCCTTAAAACGATAGTACTTTTTCTTGAAATAGCGCTCTGGAGTGAGTGGCAAAAATTGCTTAAATAATGGTCTGTCTGCGCAAGGAGTAGGCATAAAACGATAGGCCTGTTATGATAGTTAAACAAACGTTTGGCCTCGTTTCTAAAGGCTTTAATCTACAAAAACCTCGTGCTACATATACTTCACAAAATGGCGTCTTCACAGAACGAGTCCGCTGACATATGTGTTGACGGGCACTAAAAGGTATCGGTATCCCGGATTAACAATAACATCAACAATGTAAATTACGAGTACCGGTAAAGTTACTTAAATGAAGTTTCCAATGTTTGACTGTCACTACATTCACCCCTTCCTATAAATCGAGCCTATCTACAGGGCGGCGCTCTCGCTGTGATCTCCTCAATTCTGTGGGTTCTGGTTCTTTAGTTGGTTCTTGCGTCTTATCAACATGATGATCGTTGACGGGAGAAAACTCACTAGAAATATTGGGTTTAACGACTGGGAGCTGGATTGAAGAGGGTGGTTCTAGAAGTTCCACTTGACCACAAGGAGCAAGATTCTTGGTTGAAACTGTTGTTTCTCTGCCATTAGGGTAACGAACGTGAGCGTAGTGAGTATTGGTCTGGAGAACATCAGCTTTTTCAACCAGAGGATCAAACTTACTGTGTCGTACATGACGCTTTACATAAACAGGGCCAGGTTCAGCCAGCCAAGAGGGGATCGAACTACCTGTGGATGAACGGCGTGAAAAGTTCAGGAAACGTTCATGCGGAGTCTCATTCATTGCGGTGCACAGAAGAGAACGGATCGAGTGCAACACATCTGGCAGGACCAATTGCCACTGTTCTGCCTGAAGCTTCTTTGACTTAAGAGACGTTGTAATCGCCTTCCATACAGTGCCATTGTACCTCTCAACTTGACCATTACATGTGGGGTTATAACTGGTTGTACGACTTGTAGATACACCTTTGCTAGAGAGGAATTCCCGTAACTCTTGACTCATAAACGAAGCCCCTCTGTCAGAATGCACATAGGCAGGCATACCAAATAGAGAAAACAATGTGGTGAGACACTTTATAACGGTCGGAGTAGACACATCAGGGCAAGGGAAAACGAACGGGAACCGTGAAAACTCATCAACAACATTCAGGAAGTATTTGTTCTTGTCGTTGGAAGGAAGTGGCCCTTTAAAGTCAATGTTGATTCGTTCAAAGGGTTGGGTAGCTTTTATAAGTTGAACTGGGTCCGGGCGGTGGAATACCGGTTTACATTCACAACAGATTGGACAGGAGTTCACAGTCCTCCTAACATCTTCTAGAGAATAAGGCAAGTTCTTGACTCGAATAAAATGCCATAATCGGGTAATCCCAGGGTGACAGAGCGAATCATGGAGCTTGTAGAGAGCATCACTGACGCTAGAAGCACACGTGGCTCGTGAGAAGGTATCCGGTGCTACATTATCTCTGCCTGGTCGATACTCTATGTCAAAGCTATAGCAACTCAGTTCAATCCTCCAGCGCATTATCTTGTCATTCTTAATCTTTCCTTAATGACGCTGGTTGAACATGTAGGAAACTGACTTTTGGTCCGTTTTTAGAGTGAAGTGGGACCCAGTGAGAAAATGTCTCCAGTGCCTGACCGACTCAACTATTGCTTGAGCCTCCTTTTCTACAGCAGAGTGTTTCAGTTCACTACCTTTAAGGGTGCGGGAGAAAAAGGCTACAGGTCTGCCCTTCTGATTTAGGGTAGCAGCTAGTGCTACATCTGAGGCGTCTGTTTCCACCTCAAATGGAATACTCTCGTCTATGGCAGAGACAGCAGCTTTGGCAATGATCCTCTTTAAGTCTTCAAATGCTTTCTGTGCTTCAGAAGATAAAGGAAATGATCTACAGCTGGTTATGGGTTTAATTCTGTCGGCGAAACAAGGAACCCATTGAGAATAGTAAGAGAAAAGTCCCAGACATCTATTAAGAGCCTTTGAGCTTTGCGGCAGTGGGAGCTCCAGTAGAGGCCTTAATCTTTCGGGGTCTGGACTAATAGAACCATTTTCAATGACATATCCCAGTAACGGCAGTCGTTGAGCAGAGAAGACGCTTTTGCTGTCGTTGAATTTAAGATTCGCCTTTTGAGAAGCCTCCTGGAATAATATGAGGTTAGCATCATGGTCAGCTTGATCCTTTCCACATACAGTTATGTTGTCGATGTATGGAAACACAGCTTTCAAGTGGTTATCTTCAACAAATCTCATCATTTCTCTTTGGAAGCAGGCTACACCGTTGGTTACACCGAAAGGAAGCCTGGTAAACTGATAAAGCCCACCTTTAGCTTCAAACGCAGTGTAAGGCTTGTCATCTTCTCTTAAAGGTATTTGATGATACGCACTCTGGAGGTCAAGGGTACTGAACACTTTGTACTGAGCTATTTCGTTGATCGTATCACTGATCCTCGGCAGCGGGAAAGCATCTAGTTGGGTGAATCTATTGATTGTCTGGGAATAATCAATAGCTAGGCGTTTCTTGTGATTTTCATCCTTTGTGACAACTACTTGTGCCCGCCAAGGGGACCGGCTTGGCTCAATAATGCCTTCCTTGAGCAACCGTTCTACTTCATTGCCAATGAAGTTCAGGTCTTCTTTGCTGTAGCGCCTGGACTTTGTAGCAATAGGATGGCAGTCGGCAGTGAGGTTTGAAAATGGTGATGGCGGCTCTATGTTCAGAGTAGTGAGACTGCATACCGACAGCGGCGGTTTTGTTCCGCCATACTTGAATGTGACACTATCATGTTGAGACTGAAAATCGAGTCCTAAAATCAGATCAGAGCAAAGCCCTGGCATAACCAACAGGCGAAAGTCTTTATAAGTTTGACCTTGGTAGTTAATAGTAACAGAGCAAGAGCCCTCGGTCTTTGTACTTAACAAAGATGTTGCCATGGAGACCTGGCTGACCGAAGGGTTAACAGAGATAGCAGCTACTTCAACGAGGCTTGGATGTATGTAGCTTTCACTGCTTCCGCTGTCAAAGAGTGCTTCTACACTCCAGACCTTGTCGACAACAACAGTAGCAGTTGATCCTTTAAGAGATTGGGGAATTCCTACGGTGGCAAGAGTAGGTGGCCAGAGAGCAGCTGAAACTTCGCTGGGTTTAGAGGCCTTGCTTCGGCAGACTTTCGCAAAATGTCCCCTCTTTTGACATTTATTGCAAATTGCATCTCTGGCTGGACACTTGGAACGAGGGTGTTTAGGATTTCCACAGAAGAAGCACTTTGAATCAATTGCAGCGAGTGTGGAGTCTGACTGAGCAGAGTCGACTTGGATTGGATTCTGAGCGGTCATTTCTTTTGCTGAGGCTGCAACGCTGACAGGTTGAGGGACAGAGTAACTCTCTGAACTGCGCATGGCAGAGTCGAGCGCTCTGGCCTGGTCAAATATCGTTTTCAGATCTAGAGTTTTGTTTTCTAGTAGCCTTTGGCGTATTTGGTTAGAATGTAGCCCAGTAATGAAAGCATCCCGTATATATTCCTCACAATATTTGGCAGCGGTGACAGATTGAAAGTTGCAGTCTTTGGCGAGAGTTTTGAGCGCTTGAAGATATTCGTCTAGAGTTTCACCAACCTGTTGTCGTCTGGTAGCGAGCACGTGTCTGGCGTGGATTTCGTTCGTCGGCTTCACGAAAATATTTTGAAGAGTTTCGATTGCAGATTCGTTGTCGGCACATTCTTCTACATATTCGAATACCGCAGGCGAAATAAAATTTGTCAGGACTCCAAATTTATCGAGGCCTTCTTCCGTCAGTACGGCGAGGAAATTTTCGAAGGTTTGACGCCAGTGAATCCACGATTTTGATGCTCCAGACGTGCTTGGATCGGCGCTGAATCTCTCGGGCCTGAGGACTTTATCCATTTGTTTTGTTTTGTTTTTTTTTGTTTTTTTTTTTTTTTTGTAGATTAAATTGTTATGATAGTTAAACAAACGTTTGGCCTCGTTTCTAAAGGCTTTAATCTACAAAAACCTCGTGCTACATATACTTCACAAAATGGCGTCTTCACAGAACGAGTCCGCTGACATATGTGTTGACGGGCACTAAAAGGTATCGGTATCCCGGATTAACAATAACATCAACAATGTAAATTACGAGTACCGGTAAAGTTACTTAAATTAAGTTTCCAATGTTTGACTGTCACTACAAGGCCGATCCAAAAACGGCCGTTATACATCGAGGTGTTAACTCTTTAATTAAATCAAATTCCTTGAGATAATTAGTTGCGTTTTCACTCGGCCGATGAACTAGCTGAACGTTGTTTTTAGGTGTTTGTTTACAGACCAACATTTGC